CCCTGGCTGGGATGGGGGAGGGGAGATGTCCCCACAGCCGCTCCCCAGCCCAGCCCTGGCCTCACCCATTCCTGTACCCATGCACATGACATTCTGTCCTCTCGGCCACACAATGGGCTGTGTATTGTGGTCAGCACTGAGGTTGTGATCCAGGGAGGAAGGTGGAGACTCACGGATGGCCAGCAGCAAACTTGGAGGAAACTTGGGGGCATAAGGAACTATGACTTCTGGGATTGTGGAGGGGACAAGCAGAGGCAGGACCTGAAGGGGAAGGGGCTACCCTAACCAAGGGTCTCCTGATCACCTAACCCAACTCGGTAGTCACGGGAGTTCCCCTTCCTCGGTGAGACACCCACTCTGGTGTTGAAATCCCTGCCGGAAGGTACCAATGCCAAAGGTGTCAATCTTTTGATCAATGGCCATCGGCTTAGCCAAGCCTAGGGGTGAGGCCTCACCTTCCTCACTCAGGTAATATCACACCTGACCCAGGTGGGCCCAGGGAGCCAGGATCGGGCAGGGAGCCAGGTCACCCTCTTGCTTTCAGGCTTAGCAGGGTGGACAGCTACAGTAAGAGCTAGAGCCAAACTCAGACCCTGGGGGCTTCCTGCATATTTCTGGAGCCAGGCAATAAGCCCCTTCTGGAACCTTCTGAAGGCCCTGTGATGGAGTGCTGGTCCCAGCCCTTCACTCCAAGCAGAGGGCAGCTCAGGTCTGCCAACGTGTCAGGCCTCAGGGACAGGGTCCACCCTAACCAAGCCTGAAGCTAAAAATGGCCCACCCTGGCCCCCTGTCCAGAGAGACAAGAAGGGAAGGCCAATCCAGAAACAGAGAACCCCTAGGACCATCAAGAGAGCAACACACAAATAGAATGCGGGACCTTATCCAGAGAAGCAGCAGCGCCAGAGATGGAGGCAGAGATGGGAGCATGGAGAGGGGAGAGCGGCTGAGGACTCTAGATTCATCAACTAAGAAGAGAGGAACTAAGAACTGGTGGCCAGGAGCAGACTTGCAGAATGTGCCCTTTGGAAATGTAATTTATTATATATGCCTGAGTGGGTTTTTTGTTTTTGTGTTTTTTTAAAAAAGCTAAAGTGGATAGAGAGAAATACTGTTAACTGATGGTATATGGAGGGGATTATAATCAATGTAATGAAACAAGTTATATGAATGGTTGAATGTGAAACTGATGATGTGCCCTGTAAACTTTCACCCAATCCACAATAAAAAACTGAAAAGAAAAAAAAAAAAGGGAAGGCCAAGACAAGTGGACCAGGGGCTGGAGGTTCACAACAGGTGGACAGAGTAGAGGACAGGGGTCCAGGCTAAGTATGAGGGACACACCTTGTCTGTAGCCTCGCTCCCCTACCTCCAGAGGTGGACAATAGTTTGCTTGTCCTGCTGAGGTTCCGTTCCCTGAGACCGGCTCATTCTCTTATCAATAGATTGCTGAACAAAGACCTGGAGCTTATCTGCTGTGTGCTTGGCCCCTCGGTGTTTGGGGTCACAGAGGCTCGAACCCACCGCTCTCCACTAGCAGAGCATTCTGTGTGTGAGCCGACCTGGGGGGCCCCCAGCAGGCTGGGTGGGACCGGCAGAGTCGTCATCTGCTGAGCACCTTGGTGGGAGGCCTTGGGTTTCCAGGAAATTTCAGCCCTGGCACCAGGCCACACAATGTCTGTCCCTCTCCTGTTCCCAGGCCTCCTGCTCCTGTCTGGGCCCCACGAGCTACGGGGGTCTCCTGATTCATGGGGAGCCCCTGCCTACCACAAACCCACTCAGGCCCCATCTGGGCAGCGTCCAAGGGTCAGCGTCCAGTTCCTGAGAGTGGGTGTTGTGGATGTTGGGGTGGTACCTTCCTCCTCTCGGCAGCACGAGGCCTGTCTGCTTCTCCTCTCTTGTGTCTCCAGCAGCTGGAGGGGGCCGAAGCCAGGAGATCCCAGGGCATGTCGCGGAGGGATGGGGACTGTGCTGGGGGATGGAGGGGGCTGGGAGCTGAGGCAAGAACTCAGGCCTAGACGCCTGGAGGCCCCCACCCCACCCCACACACTTGTGGAACTTGGTCATCGTGAAGATGAGAGCCAGGAGGGGAGGGAAGGGGCTGAGCAATATCTGGGGACTGTGTTAGAGACAAAGATCCCAGGTTAGGCATTAGGTCACTGCCACAAGGTCAGAGGTTCAAACCCACCAGCAGCTTCAAGGAACAAACCTGAGGCAGTCTGCTCCTGTAAAGATTTACAGCCTCGGAAACCCCATGTGACTGGGTGAGTGAGGGCAGGGGTCTGCCCAGGGCATGAGGCTGTGGTGGGCATTGCCTTGGGGATTGCAGAAGTCCAGGCACTAGAGGTGGCCAGGCACATACAGGCCATTCCAGAGGTCTGACTAACGAATGGAATGTGAGCAGGGACAGATGAGGAATTGGGGGGGCGGGGGGGTCTCAATTCCAGCCTGACTCAGCAAGAGCAACCCCAGGGGGACCCTGACCTCCCACCTGGAACACAGCCCCCAGGTCAGCCTTGCCTCACCTCTGTCCCCCTCTCTGGCTGCCTTAGTTGGTTTTATCACCTGGAGGCACCCAAGTTACCCCTCAGAGCTACCAGCCACCCAAAATGAGTGTTTTTCTTCCGAGTACATGCCGTAACTCTCACCCTCCCTCACCCTGCTTATCTGGCCAGCTGACAACGGCAGAGGCCCCTGGAAGGGCTCACCCACTTGCCCCCAGCACCCTCCCCCAGGCTCCCTAGAGACCTTGGGTACACATGGTCTGCCCTCACACCCCAGGCTCCTAGGAAACTGTGAGAATAGGGCCCCCAGGGCAGGGGATCTCCATGAGGAATTCTAGACAGGGTTTGGGCCAGTCCCCAGCCTCCAGCTCCCACCCCCCACCAAAGGCTGCAGTGACCTTGTCCCTACACACACTGACTCCCTATATTCAGAGGCTAAGCTCAGGGGAAGTGGGTTCGAGCTCTGTGGCCACCCCAGCCTCTTGGTCCCTAACCCCAGGTCAGTTTCACCTCTTAAAACAGGCTGGTGGAGAACCACCCAAGAAGGACTGAGAATAAGCATGCAATTCAACTGGAATGTTCCGGAGCCCCTATCCTCCTGCAGGACGCTCCCAGGCCACACCCAGGGCAATTTCCTCTTTCAACAGACTGACTTTTCTCAATTTAAAACAATCTCCTAATAAACTCAGTTTACAAGGAACAGTGAAAACAAATGATGTCCTCTTCAGATACCCATATGTCCACGTCAGGCGGCTCTCCCCAGTGTGCAAGTGGAGGGGCAGAACAGGGTGGTCCCAAGCCAGGTGTGGGACCTCCACTCCAAACTATGAACAGCTCCCCTGCAGGGCAAGGCTGGAGCCACTTAGGGGGTCCCAAGCATTCTTGATCCCTGTCCACCCTCCCATCTGTCTGCCCATGTGGTCAGGACCTATGGAAGAGTGACGTGGGGTAGGGGAATGAAGCCATCCCAGTCACCATCCAAGCAGACCAGGGCCTGGGTCCATTGTAAGGTGGAGGGAGGCACGGGACAAAGTTCTTTGGCACATGCATCCCAGATCACACACTTGGCACCCCCGATTGTCCTTGATCTCACCCACTCCTCACCTCACTGTTACAGCTGCCCAGCACACGCTCACACACGGTTCCTACTCAAAGCAGCCTGGCTTCTCAGGAGTCTAGAGGCTCCAAGTCTCTGCGGGAACAGAAAGCCTCATCTTTCTCCCACGGAGCCACTGGTGGATTTGAACCACCAACCTTGAGATTAGCAGTCTGTGCTATACTACAGCTCTACAGAAGGACTCCGTCCAGTGCACACATGGGCTTGGGGCATGTGCCCTGATCTAGAATGTTCTCTTCATCTTCTCTCCACATGCAAAGGACAAGTTCACCCAGTCAGCACAGCCAGGGCCCAGGCCTCCACTCACACTGAGGGACTGACCCTCACTCTCACCCTGACCTTCACCCACATCCTGACCCTCTCCCTGACCCTCACCCATACCCTGACCCTCTCCCTGACCTTTACCCACACCCTGACCCTCTCCCTTACCCTCACCCACACCCTGACCCTCTCCCTGACCCTCACTCTGACCCTGACCCTCACACACATCCTGACCCTCTCCCTGACCCTCACCATATCATGACCACACAAGTCCTACCTGTGGACAAGGAGAGGGAAGTTGCTGGGCTGACCCCATAGGAGCTGCGTCCTTCCCTAGCGGTGCGTGGCCATAATCCCTGTACCTCTGATTATCTTGAGGTTGCACCTTCGGCTCTCTCATTGGCACATTGGGTGCCCTCCCCTCAGTGAGCAGCCCACAGGCCCCCTGCCACCCCTGTGCTCAGGGTGAGCGTCCAGTGGGAATTGGGGGAGACAGAAGCAATGCCTTGGGGGGCTGCCCTCACAGCATACAGGCATAGCCACTAGGGACAACACCTACATGACGGGTCTGGATAGCCTCACCCTGTGCGTAGGCCCTAAGGAAGGGGCTTCTCCCATGGTGGCCCTTTCTCTTAGACAGGTGACTCTGGGTAAGGGAGCGGGGCACAGTGAGCTGAAATCTGGGTCCTGGGGTCCAGGTGGGGGCAGTGCCCATGCTGGCCCATGGCAGGTGACCCCCCCACCCCAGGATGTCTCAGGGCACCTCGTCCGCTCACATGCATAAGCACAGAAGGTGTTTGAGGGCTCTGTCGGGGTGTGCCAGCCCCCAGCGGGAGGCAGCGATAACAGGCCACTATTGCCCAGGACTTTCCAACGAGGCCGCGCTGCTCTGCTCTGATAAAACCTCCAGGATCCGGTTTGACCACCGCTGTGCCCAGCCAGCTGCGGCTGCTACTACGGGCCTTCAAGCGTGGGGCGCGGCAAGGGCAGGGCCGAGCCCTATATAAGATGTCTGTCCAGGCTGCTGACTCGAGTTCCAAAGGTGGCAGCAGCAAAACTGCCCAGTAGCCCAGCGGCAGAAGGGTGGTCCGGCGGTGGCCTCTCTTCTTGGCATCGGCGTCATGCTCGGGCCTCAGCTGCTGATACTGGTGACCTTTGGGGGAACCCTGCTGGGCGCCGGTGAGTGGGCCAGCCCCAGCCGGGCTGTGAGGTCACTGGACCTCCACACCTCGCCAACAAGGACCACATGGACATCAATGAATGGGGGGCAGGAGGTGGCAGGAAAGACCAGACAGGAAGGGCCTTCCGTGCTCCCCACCATCCCACAGGGGCACAATGACCAGGGTGGACAGAGGGTTCACGGAGTGGGAAGCAGACTGTCCAGTCAGAGTACAGTGTCTTCAATAGTGCTAGAGCACTGTAGAGCCTGGGGGTGCTGAGGGACACAATCTGGGGGTGCTGGGGGACAGAGCTTGGAGGTGCTGGGGAACACAATCTGGGGGTGATGGGGGGACACAGTCTGGGGGTGCTGGGGGACAGAGCTTGGGGGTGCTGGGGGGACACAATCTGGGGTGCTGGGGGACACAGTCTGGGGGTGCTGGGGGGACACAGTCTGGGGGTGCTGGGGGACAGAGCTTGGGGGTGCTGGGGGGACACAGTCTGGGGGTGCTGGGGGACAGAGCTTGGGGGTGCTGGGGGGACACAGTCTGGGGGTGCTGGGGGACAGAGCTTGGGGGTGCTGGGGGACACAATCTGGGGGTGATGGGGGGACACAGTCTGGAGTCATGGCTGCTATGAGGATGTGAAGTGGACGTAGGGGCCTCTCATTAGCCCAGGTGGAACCAGTAAGGCTGAGCTGGGGGGCTGGACCTTCCTGGAGCCTACTGTCCCCCTCCCCCAGACATGGGTCCCAGTGCCCCCTGAGGTGCTAGGCAGCTCACCCCTCCCACAGGCTGAGCCCCAGGCCTTCGGTGGCTACCCAAGTAGCGTCCTTCCTGTGTCCAGGAGTCTGGCCTCTCCCTTGTCTCTGGCTTTCTGCTGTCATCAGTGACCTCAGACCCAGAAGCCCTCTGGGAGCTGACATGGTGCTAATGAGCAGGTTCAGGCATAATGTCCCTGGGGGGCTGCAGCCTGTATACAGGGGCAAGTCACTAGGGGTCTCTCCCAGCTGAGTCCAGACCTTTATCTCCCACAAAGCCCCTCCCTTGCCACTTGGCACCACATTTCCATGTCCAGAGGGACCCTTGGGACCTCTGGGTCAGGGCTAGCTTGGCATGAGAGCTCTGAAGAGGACCTCAGGCCCTAGGGGCAGTGTTGAGGCCATCTCCCCAGTCCTGGGGGCTCACAGACCCAGGGCCAAAGCCAGGGGGAGGGTGAGAGGGTCCCAGAGCCGGCCGAGTGCTGGGTCTGGGCCAGGTCAACAAAGGCTGAGATCCCATGACTGGGTAATGGGCTTTGGGAGCTGAGGGGGGGTCTGAGCTCCGAATGGTGTGGAGGACCCATAGGCAGGAGCATTGTCGTTTTGGGAAACACACTTTTAGCACCAACTCCACAGAGCCCAGGAGGTAAGAGAAGCGAGCCTGCCTTTCTGGGGCCACTGGTCCTACTGTCCTAGAGTGGGATGGGCTGTGAGGAGGCTGGACTGCAGGGGTCGGGTCGGGGCTAACCCAGAAAGGCAGGGGCGAGGGCCTGCCAAGCGTGAAGGAACAGTGTGTGACACCCAAGGCCAGTCAGGGGCTGGGGGTGGTAAACAGCTCGCCTGGAGGGCCCGTGGTCCGGCAAGGGGCCCGGCTCCATCCTTAGAGCAAGAAAAGCAACCCCGGGGGCAGGGGGTGCCATTCGACTCCAGGGACAACTTCAAAGGTTGTGGGAGGTGGGGGACAGGAAGGACAGGGACTCCGGAAGGAACTGTGAGTAAAAGGAACTTGCTAAGAGACCCACTTGCCGAGGGGAGACCCCAGAAAGACCCTCTGGGGTGGGGTGGTCTGAATGTGGAACACACAGTCATGGAGGCTGACGAGGACAGACCAAGGGAATGAATGAGGGAGACAGGGCCACCACCCATGTAAAATGTGCCGGGCAGAGGGACGGGGCCGTGGCACTGAGGACCCCTGCAAGGCAGACCCCAGAGCCCGTCAGTGCGCCTGAGTTGGGGCTGCTCAGTCTGCTGGGGTTCTAGGGGGTTCTAGGGGAGATGGGTGAGTGACCCGCCACATACATAGACACCCAGTGTGGGGGCGAACACCACAGTGTACGCTGGACCAGGGGCAGCCGAGCAGAACATGATCTCAGAGGGGAAATGGAATCACAACTGCAGAGACCGTCCACTGGCCACTGGCCTTCTTAAATCGATTCACCCAAAACACCAGCAGCTCCCAGCAGAGAAGGCCCGAGGCACTTCAGGGCTGTCGTGGAGTTCTGGGCCACCCCACAGGGCCTCCTGGGAGTTGAGATGGCTCAACTGAACGCCTCGATCGACATCATCACGGCATGTTTGTGGTAACAGTCACCACAGGGCCCAACAGTGGAACTGCAGGGGAGAGGAGGCAGCAGGAAGACAGCTCCTGAGGGTCCTGCTCAGCAGAGGAGACAGGAGGCCCTGAGTTATTTGCAGAGTCCCCAGGAGAGATGGGGCAGACCAGGCAGAGGGGACAGGCCTGGTGTGTGGTGGGGGTGGGGACAGAGATGATGCTGGACAAGCGTCCAGTGAATCCGGCCCAGAGCGGGGTGGGCAGAACAAGCCCGTGTAACCAGGACACTCAGCTGAGAATATCCCAGGGCTGGTACCTCCTCACCCTGAGACTTGCCCAGGTCACCTGTAAGGAGAGGCCTCCCCAGCCTCCGTGGGCTGTCCTTCCCAGGATTTAATGATCCTCAGTGTGTGTGTGTACCTGCACACGTGTGCATGAGCATCCACATGTGCCTGTGTGCACACACATGTTTGTGTGTGCCCAGGTGTACAACTATGTGTATGCACGTGCACATGTGCATGTCTTTCTGTGTGTGCCCCTACAAGCGTGCATTTTTGTATGTCTATGTGTGTTAATTGTGCTCATGAGAACTCTGTACGTGGACCAAGACGCAGTTGTTCGAACAGAACATGGGAACACTGAATGTTTTAAAATTGGGAAAGGTGTGAGACAGGGTTATATTCTTTCACCATACTTATTCAACCTGTATGCTGAGCAAATAATCCGAGAAGCTGGGTTCTATGAAGAAAAACGTGGCATCAGGATTGGAGGAAGACTCATTAACAACCTTGCGATGTGCAGATGATACAACCTTGCTTGCTGAAAGTGAAGAGGACTTAAAATATTTACTGATGAAGATCACAGACCACAGCCTTCAGTATGGATTGCATCTCAATGTAAAGAAAACAAAAATCCTCACCACTGGACCAATAAACAACATTCTATCAACAGAGAAAAGATTGAAGTTGTCAAGGACGTCATTCTTCTTGAATCAACTATCAACACTCATGGAAGCAGCAGTCAGAAATCAAATGACACATTGCATTAGGCAAATTTGCTGCACAAGACCTTTTTTAAAGTGTTGAAGAGCAAAGATGTCAACTTGAGGACTAAGGTGCGCCTGACCCATATGCATGCGAAATCTGGACAGTGAATAAGGAAGACTGTAGAAGAATTGATGCATTTGAGTTCTGGTGTTGGAGGAGAATACTGAAAGTGCCATGGGCTGCCAAAAGAACCAACAGATCTGTGTTGGAAGAAGTGCAGCCAGAGAGCTCCTTCGAGGCGAGGATGGCCAAACTTCATCTCTCATACTTCGGACATAATGTCAGGAGGGACCAGTCGCTGAAGAAGGATATCATGTTTGGTAAGATGGAGGGTCAGAGAAAAAGAGGAAGACCTCCAGCGAGATGGATTGGCCAAGTGGCAGCATCAATGGACACAGCCGTGGCGACAATTGTGAGGCTGACCCAGGATCAGGCAGTGTTTCGTTCTGTTGTACATAGGGTCGCTATGAGTTGGTATCAACTCGATGGCATCTAACAATAATAACATGTGTCTGTGTGTGCACATCTGTGTACATGTATCAGTGTGTGTGTGCATGTCTATATACACTTGTACGTATGTGTGCTTGTGTGTTTGTACACCTATATGTGTCTGTGTGTGTACCCACATGTGTGCATATGTGTCCATGACTGTATGCACCGGCAAATGTGCATGTGTGTACATGCTGTGTGCATATGTGCACTTGTGTGCATGCACACGTGTGTTCCCATTGCGTGCGTGCATGCGTGTATACCGAGAACAGATCCTGTGGGAGTGGGTGCCTTTGCTCCCTGAATCTCCACTGTACTCCCAACGTCCATAGTCTGTACAGAGCAGGTGTGCTGGTCAGACCTGCTGAACTAATGAGAGAGTGACAGAGCACCTGTGAAGAGCCTGAGGAGCTGCCCAGGCCCAGGCCCAACACTGCTCATGGTCTGAGTTGGAGCCCAGGGCACACAGGGCAGCAGGCTGGGATTGTACCACTCTGTACAGAGCAGGGGAGGTCCCAGCACTGACCAAGTCTTGTCCACACAGGTCTGAGTGACACTGACCCCTCTTTTGCTGACCCAGGCCTTCGGAGCCTGAAGGACTCACCAGCAGGTGAGGTCAGAGTGGCCCCCTTAGCCTGGGGTCTCTATTAGAGGGTCCAGCCACAGAAGAGCTCAAGGCCCATACCTGTGGAGTGAGTGGGTCCTGGGTGCCTGGGTCTGGTGGGGTGCCCCCGTCTTACAGACCCCGGATCTGATACTTCAGACACCGGCAACCAGGGCGGCTTGCGCTCTTCTAAAGCTGGTGAGAGCCAGACCCACTCAGAGTAGGGAGAGGTGGGGTGGGGGAGCCCCTACCACTCCCAGGCCACTTTACTGTCCAGCCTGGGGTACAGGTCACAACACCTAACCAGGGAGGGGGCACCCAGCAACCTGCCGCTCTCTCTACAGCTGAGGACATGGGTTGGTGCTCCACGTGGGGGCCTGGCCATTTCTCCACCTTCGACCACCACGTGTATGACTTTTCCGGGACGTGCAATTACATCTTTGCGGCCATCTGCAAGGACGCCTCACCTACCTTCAGTGTCCAGCTCCGGCGTGAGTCCGATGGAAGCACGGCACGCATCATCGTGGAGCTGGGCTCCACCGTGGTCACAGTGCAGAGAGGCATGGTGTCTGTCAAGGACGTGGGGTAGGGTCCGCTGGGACCAGAGGGGAGGGGCCTGGGGAGGGGAGGGGCCTGTGCGGGGCCCGGGGCGGGGCCTTGGGCTGGGCCTGGTAGACTGGCTGAGGCGCTCTTCCTCAGGGTGGTCAGCCCTCCCTACACCAGCAACGGGCTTCAGGTCACACCCTTCGGCCAGAATATGCGGCTCGTGGCCAAGCAGCTGGAGTTGGAGCTGGAGGTTCTGTGGGGCCCAGATGGCTACGTCATGGTGAGAACAGTGGTGATGCGCACGGGGTGGGGGTTTCGCGGACCTGACCTGAATCGTAACCAGGCTCTTCCTGCTGACCCCTGACCAAGACCTAGGCCTTCTGGACTTTGGTGGCGGCTCGGTCTATCCACTGGGAAAATAAGGACGACCCAGAAAGCAGCTGGGGTCCCCAAGGCCACAGCCCAGGTGGGGAGGGCGGGCGACTGAGAGCCTCCCGGGCCTGCCCCACTTAAGGAGGGCGTCCGGACGCCACGCCCCACCCCCCAGCACCACTACACCACGCCTCTCCCCGACGTGCCCCCCTCCCCGCTGCACCGGCCCCGAAGCGCCTGCGCAGCCGGGGCTCGCTCAGTGATGCCGGGTCCACAGGTCTTAGTAGAGAAGAAGTACATGGGCAAGATGTGCGGGCTTTGCGGGAACTTTGACGGCGAGAAGACCAACGAGTTCCTGAGTGAAGACGGTAGGAGGGTCGGGCTGACAGGGTGGGCGGAGGGGCCATGACCCTGCAGTGCTGACTCCATTCGGTGCCCCCAGGAAAGTTCCTGGAACCCCACAAGTATGCAGCCCTCCAGAAACTGGACGACCCCAATGAGATTTGTGCCTACGAGGCGATCCCTCGACCCCACGGTCCGCTGGAAAAACACGTATGTGGAGGAGAAGGGACGTGGGGGACCCTGGGGAGCATGGGCAGTCGGGTCTCCCTGGTGACTCTGAGTGACCTTCTGCCCAGGCCCGGACCTGCACCCAGCTACTGAGCTTGGTGTCTCCCGAGTGCAGCGTGCCCCGGGAGCCGTTTATGCAGAACTGCCAGGCAGATCTGGCGGGGTGTGCCCAGCCCGGTCAGCACAACTGCAGCTGTGGTACCCTCTCCGAGTTCTCCCGCCAATGCAGCATGGCCGGCCAGGTGGTTAACAACTGGCGGACGCCTGGCCTCTGCTGTGAGTTCTGGGAGGGGAATTGAGGGTCCCCAGACCCGGATAGCCACCATACCCACCCAGCCTCATGGACAGAGCAGATCTCCTCATGCCCCCTCCTCAATCCACCTGCAGCCGTGGGGCAGTGCCCAGCCAACCAGATCTACATGGAATGCAGTACGGCCTACATCAGGACCTGTTCCAACCCCAGACACAGCCACTCTGGTTTCTGTACCTGGGGTTGCTTCTGCCCTAAAGGTGAGACCCTCTGACACCCACTCAGGGTTCCCGAGACCCCCAGATGAGCCAGGAGGGGGACAGCAGGCGGCCCCATCCTGTACTGTGAGGGCATGTGACCCATGTCCACGGGACTCTGGAGATAGTGGGGGCTGAGTGGACTCATTGCACAGTGTGGCCATGGGCACCTCCTTGGGTCTGCCACTGACCAAGGAGCAGCACCTGGGTGTAGGCAATTAGAGGGTGCCCCCAAAAGTGCTGGTGGAGGTTCCGTCGGGGAGGGGTGCTGACCGGAGGGAGGTGGTTGGCACCACACAGCCCCAGGAAACCTCTCTCCTGCAGGGATGGTTCTTGACGACCTCTCCAAAACTCAGACTTGTGTGCCAGTCTCTCAGTGCCCTTGCATGCTCAACGGGGCAGTCTATGCCCCCGGGGAGGTCACTTCATCTGCCTGCAGGACCTGGTATGGACCAGAGGAGGGGAGCCCTGAGGAGTAGGGGGGCGGGACATAAGGGAGATGCAGAGGAGCTAGGAAGGACACCAGGAGGGAGGCATGCAGTGTGGTTGCCTTCCACCACCCTCCCCCATCTGGGTCACCCACCCCTCACCCCAGCCGGTGCGATGAGGGTCTCTGGAGGTGCACCGAACGACCCTGCCCCGGCCAGTGCTCCCTGGAAGGTGGCTCCTTCGTCACCACGTTCGACGCCAGGCCCTACCGCTTTCACGGCACCTGCACCTACATCCTCCTCCAGGTAGTGGGGCAGCGGAGGAAGGGGAGGGGAAGGAAAGGGGTAGCATCCAGAGCCTCACATCTGAGCAGAAGCCGCCCCTTCCCAGAGCCACCAGCTCCCTGACGGCGGCTCCCTCATGGCCGTGTATGCCAAGTCCGGGTACTCACACTCAGAGACGTCCCTCGTCAATATCATCTACCTGTCCAACCAGGTATGTGTCCTCCCCACCCTGCCACGGGGTTTGCTGCTCTCACTGCTAGCGAGGCAGCTGAGACTAACGCTTCCTCCCTACTCCTGGCCCCCCGTGACTCATCCATCCTTTCTCCAGGACAAAATTGTGATTTCTCAAGATGAGGTAGTCACCAATAACGGAGACATCAAGTGGCTGCCATACAACACTGGTATGTGGTCCTGCCACCATGACCGAGAGAGGGGACAGGGGTGCAAACAGCTGCTGAAACAGTCGCTGTCCTTCCAGGCAACATCACCATATTCAGACAGACGTCCACCCACCTCCAAATGGCCACCACCTTTGGCCTGGAGCTCACGGTCCAGCTGCAACCTGTGTTCCAGGCTTACGTCACTGTGGGGCCACAGTTCAGGGGCCATACCCAAGGTGAGCCCCACCCCACCCCTGCCCCCACCTGGGAGGAGATGGGGTTCCACAGAGCTAACCACATTGACCCTCCACTCTTTCCCCCCACCTCCATGACCACCAAACCTGGCCACTCTCACAGGGGTGTGGCCCCTGGTAGTCACTCCACCAGGGCACGCCCATGTCCCAGACACCTCCGAGAGGAGCTTACAGAGGTGGTGCCCTGGAGGCCCAGGGGGTGTGTGCGGGGTATGGTGGGACCAGGAGTGTGTATGGGATGGGCAGGACAGGTGACATGCCCACCCTCCCACGTGTCTCCCCGGCTGGTCTAGGCCTCTGCGGCAACTACAATGGGGACACGACCGACGACTTCACCACCAGCATGGGCATCGCCGAGGGCACCGCCTCACTCTTTGTGGACTCCTGGCGAGCTGGGAACTGCCCCGCGGCGCTCGAGCGGGAGACCGACCCCTGCTCCATGAGCCAGCTCAACAGTGAGCACCCCCGCCTCTCACCTCCAGGAGGGTCCAGGGAGGGGAGGGACCACGGAGCGGGGTACCCACCCTACAGCCTGTCTCCTCAGAGGTGTGTGCCGAGACCCACTGCTCGGAGCTGGTGAAGAAGGGCTCCGTGTTTGAGAAGTGCCACTCGGTCGTGAACCCCAAGCCCTTCTACAAGGTGGGCAGGACTCCTCTCTCTGAACCTTCGTGGCTCGTGGATGGCTCAGGGGTGTGGAGTCCCAGCATCCCTGGGTGGGCAGGGCACCCTGGCCACCCCTAACAGCCTGGCACCCCGACTTTCTGGCAGAGGTGTGTCTACCAGGCGTGCAACTATGAAGAGACCTTCCCCCACATCTGTGCTGCCCTGGGTGCCTACGCCCACCAGTGTGCCTCCCACGGCGTCCTGCTCTGGGGCTGGAGGAATAGCGTGGACAACTGCAGTAAGTGTCTCTGGGCTCCCGGGGAGGCCCCAGGGTCTGGGGGGCATTCCTGAAGGAGGGTCCAGGGGTCCTAAGGGAAGGTCTGAGGGTCTCAAGGGAGATCCTTAAGGGGTCTTGGGTGAGGGTCCCGGCTTGACCACCTCCTGGCCCTGGCCCCCTCTCCTGGGCAAAGGCCCCCATGGAGGGTCTTCCTTACTCGGTGTACTCTCATAGCCATGCCCTGTACGGGCAACAGGACATTCAGCTACCACAGCCAGGCGTGTGACCGCACCTGCCTGTCACTGTCGGACCGTGCACTTGAGTGTCACCCCAGCACAGTACCCGTGGACGGCTGCAACTGTCCTGAAGGTACCTACCTGAACCATAAGGCAGAGTGTGTACGCCGGGCCCAGTGCCCCTGTCAGCTGGACAGTCAAAAGTTCATCCTGGCCGGACAATCCACCATCATTGACGGTGCCACTTGGTGAGGTTCTGCTGATGAAACCCCACGCCCCCTGGCTTGCAGCACCCCCGTACCCTGAACCAGGCAGTTCACATAATCCTTGTCTTGTAGCTACTGCACCAGCGGACGGCTGACTTGCTCCAGCAAGCCGCCAATGCTCCTGGGTGAGTGGCCAGGACCATGCCTGGGGCTGCAGTGGACTGGCCTCCCCTGGACTTGTCTGACCACTGGCCCCTCCTCCTCCCCCCACAGCCAGCTGTGTAGCCCCGAAGACCTTCTACTCCTGCAGTCAGTCCTCCAAAAGCAAGTTTGGGGCGGCCTGCGCCCCCACATGCCAGATGCTGGCAACCGGCAACTCTTGTGTAAGGCTGGGGTTACCGCTCCCTGTGTGAGGCCAGCCCAGGAGCCCCTCCAGTGGGCCCAGAGAGAATGTCCACAAAACCCTCAGAAAAGATGGGGGTGAAGGAGGACCAAGATATGTGTGTGTGTTGGCGGGGAGGCTCAGTGTGGGCGGTACAGCCTGGACAGCTTTGGTGACCTGTCAGCAGCTGGGGAAAGGGTGCATTATGACGTCATGGGCCTGGGTTGATGTGAGGTGGAGGGTGTCACACCCGACCAGGACCCCTGAGGGAGGAGGGCAGTTGTGTTAAGACTCCAACAGGAACAAGTGAGGTTCCTACAGCCCTGGAGAAATGCTGGGGCCTCCGCATTCAGAGCACCCCTGCCTTCTCCGCAGGTCCCCACCAGATGTGAACCCGGCTGTGTCTGTGCTGAGGGTCTCTACGAGGATGCCAATGGCCAGTGTGTGCCCCCCGAAGACTGCAGCTGCGAGTTTGGGGGGGCCTCCTACCCTCGGGGTGCCGAGATCAACACCGACTGTCAGACATGGTGAGCTGCCCTCTACCCTCTCCAGGCCATGGTCAGCGATCTGGGCAGTGAGAGGCCTCAAGGCCCTGGGCAGTCGGGGGCCAGTGGGGGCGGGTGCTCCACCCTCACTGGACCTCTTCTCCCCAGCACCTGTGAACAGGGGAGGTGGGTGTGTAAGCAGAGTGCCCACTGCGCCTCCACCTGCACGCTCTATGGGGAGGGCCACGTGATCACCTTCGATGGGCAGCGCTTTGTGTTTGACGGCAACTGCGAGTACACACTGACCACGGTAGGACACCCACCCGAGGGTCAGTGTGGGGCTGCTGCCACGGACTCTACCTCAGCGCCCTCCCCTCCCTGCAGGACGGCTGTAGCGTCAACGACTCAAGATCCACGTTCAAAATCGTCACTGAGAACGTCATCTGCGGGAAGTCAGGGGTCACGTGCTCGCGGGCCATCAACCTCTTCCTGGGAGTGAGCGCCCACCCCCACCTCTTCATTGGCACATAGGGTCCTAACAGTCCTGGTCAGGGGTTCATGGCCCTGGCACACTCGGTGCCGCGTGATACCTAAGGGTTCTGCCCCCAGGAGGCGCCCTGTGCCCCGGGGACCTTGAGCTTCCGCCTAGGGGAGATTCTGCAGGATGTTAGAGCCCGCAGCAGGCTTTGAGGGAAAGGATCCAGGCCTGTCCCCTGGATACAGCTGCGGGTGGGGCGGGTCTGACACCAGAAGCCGCTGACCGCCCTGTCCCACAGGGTGTGTCCATCGTGTTGGCGGACAGAACCTACACGGTCAGCGGGCATGACCCCCAGGTGAGCTTCCAGGTGCAGCCTGGCTCCCTGCACCTGGTACTGGACATACACATCGCCGGCAAGTACAACCTGACGCTCACCTGGAACAAGCACATGATGATCATCATCAAGGTTTCCCGCGCTTCCGCGCAGGTACCCTCTAGGCGGGGCGGGGTCTGGAGGGGCGGGGCTAGTACAGGGCTGCGGGGGGCGGAGTCTGGTGAATGGGGCGGGATCTGGTGGATGGAGCCTGGATGCGGAGGCCTAAGCGCACGTTCTCCTTCAGGATGCCCTCTGCGGCTTGTGTGGAAACTACAACGGGAACATGAAGGATGACTTTGAGACCCGCAGCAAATATGTGGCCTCCGATGAACTGGAGTTTGTGAACTCGTGGAAGGAAAATCCATTGTGCGGGGACGTGAGCTTCGTGACGGATCCCTGCAGCATCAATACTTTCCGCCGCTCATGGGCGGAGCGCAAGTGCAGCATCATCAACAGCCAGACGTTCGCAGCCTGCCATAGCCAGGTGGGGACAGGGTTGGGGCGATGGCGAGTGAGTGGAGGGGGTCCTGGCAGAGAAAAGGGTTCCAGCATGGGGAGGGGCACCCTGGCCCCCCCACCACGAGGTGACTGCAGCCCAGAGATCAAGCACGCACTGAGTACCAGGTACCGGCCGGGATTTGTGGGGCCATCTTCACTGCCCCACACACCCACCAACACCCAGCAGTCAGGTGTGCCATGCTCTGTCCCAGCCCAAGGTACCCCACCACGGGGCCCACAGGCTTATGAAAGGCCCGGGTGAGCCAGGAAAAGATGGGGCTGATGTGAAGGTGGCCTGGAACTCCCCTTTAGACCTGGAACTGGCTTCGTCTCTATGGGCACAGGGGCCAGATCATCCTGCAATGGGGTGTCCTGTATGTTGTGGGGTGCCCAACAGCATCCCCATCAGATGCCAGGAGCTCCCCTGGACCTGAGCCCATTGTCTATGGGGTACAGCTCTGTCCAGGTACAGGGGAGGCCTGTCAGGGGGGCGGACCCCAGGGCCATTGAATCGATTCCAACTCGGCAACCCTGTATTGAGTTTCCAAGGCTGTATATCTTTACGGGAGACCACCTCAGCGTTCTCCCGAGGAACGGTGGGTGGTTTGGAACCACCGAACTTGTGATTAACAGCCCAGTGCAGCACCTCCAGGTCTCGTGTGAGCACAGAATGGCTTCACATGAGTACATGTTGTACAGTGGGCCCCCTGCAGGCTGGAGAGACCCAGCCACTAGCCACACCCTGGTCCCAACAGGAGGGTCTTTGTGGACAAACAGAGGAACCAGAAATCCCCATGGCCACCCTCAACAGGGTCTTGAGCATGGAGCACCTTTCTGAGAGTGGTCACCAGTGACTACCCACAGTGGTGATGGCCTGGAGGTGGACACCTCTGTGGCTCCCAGGGTGTTCACGTGACCTCTCCACACACCCGCAGGTGTACCACCTGCCTTACTACGAAGCCTGCGTGCGGGACACATGTGGCTGTGATACTGGTGGGGATTGTGAGTGTCTGTGTGACGCTGTGGCAGCCTATGCCAAGGCCTGTTTGGACAAGGGCGTGTGTGTGGACTGGAGATCGCCCGACTTCTGCCGTGAGTGTCTTGAGCTGGGGTGGGGGGCTAGGAGCAGGTGGCACTGACTAGACCCTCACCTCTGGGCCAACCCCCCATGTTTTCCCCTGGAAGCAATCTACTGTGACTTCTACAACACCCACACGCGGGTGGGCAGGAGCAGCGAGTACCAGTATGCCCAGGAGGTCAACTGCACATGGCATTACCAGCCCTGCCTCTGCCCCAACCAGCCACAGAGCTACCTGCCCAACAACATTGAAGGTACAAGGCATCATGTGTCTGTGGGTCTAGCACCCTCTGCTCCTGCCTGGTCCCCGTTCTAGGTTAGGGAGGGGAGCTCCCAACACCGGTCCTCAGGCAGGGAGAAGCATCTGAGCATAGAATCAGGAAATGAGCAATAAAGAGAGCCTTCAGGGGTAAGGCGGGATGGACCTCAAGCTGGGGTCAGCGGCAAACACTACAGGGGTGAGGGCGGAGCCAGCGGAACTGGCAGTGCAAGGACCGCGGGGCACCAGCGAGGTGCTACAGAGCCCTGAAGAGCCCAAGGAAGAGGTGGAGGAGGAGGTGAAGAGAAGAGGGCACAGAGCGCAGGTGAGGGAGAGCAGCGCCCGCCCTCAATGGTTGCGTCCTTCGCCCTAGGCTGCTACAACTGCTCCCAAGACCAGTACTTCGACGGCAATGTGGGCGCATGCGTGCCGTGTGGTGAGTCTCTACATGCCTGCTGTGCGCCCCCCCGGGACCCCGCCTCCTGGGTGCTGAGGTTCCCACATGCAAGAGTAATCCACCCCTAGAGGAACACCGTCCACTTCCAACTTCTTACCGAGTCCAAGCCACCAAACCGCCAGGCCTTAGTTAGGGTTCAGGGGGTGTGTCCTCTGTGAAACAGACTTGGGGCGGGTCTTGGAGCTGCCAGAGTGACAGCGCTCTCAAGGCCTCCTCTGTAGAGATGCTTGTCCTTTCTTCCCTGAGGGACACTCCAAAGGGGATCATACGGGGTGGGTGGGAGGAACCAGGGAAGAGGATCAGAGGAGGGGTGGAGACGGGGCAAGGTGGGCTCTCCTGCAGCATATGTGACCAGCTTCATCCCTTGCAGCCCCGCCCACCACCACAGCACCATCCAGCACAGGTGATTGCGCGCGCACTAGATGCCAAGGTGACGCAGGCCATCTTTGTCTGACCAGCTGAGTCCCCTACCCTTTGCTGCCATCTGTGCACCCTGGCGAGTGGGTGGAGGGATGGGGTGCACACGTGGGTTAGTCAGATGTCTGGAATCTCAGATGCTGAGCTTCAGGTGGAGGGTGGTGGCTTAGCCACTGCAATCCACCCACAAGGGCACTGGATGGTCCATGAGCACAAAGCAGGGTCCCATAGGCGAGTCCTTGGCACCCTTGAAGGGATGCTGCCACCCTTTGCAGCAGCCAGAAACAGCCCAGAGGGGCTCTGCAGCAGGAGGGGGTGCTCACCTAGAGAGTGGGCCAGTCAGCCCTGCCCAGCAGTGATGCCCACCTGGTGTCTACAGTTTCGCCTTCCACAGAAGCCCAGCCCACTACACCCATCAAGTCGACCCCAAGCACCAGTGGGTTGCTCAGTTCCTCAGTGCCGGTGGGCTCCACAGTGACCTCCAGCCTGCCAACCACGCCTACAGCCAGTCCTCAGACTTCTTCCTCTGGACACACAGACATGGTCCCCACACCCGCCACGAAGCCAACTGTCTCCTCGGGAGGTATGGCACCTCCTGGGTCCTAGTCCTTTTGCGGGGAAACTTGTTATTTTTCAGAAGGTGGCTGGTTCCCGGACCTCAGCATTGTTGCTAGAGCGAACAGACAGGAAGGGTTGGGAGACTGGTCCATCCTTCCCACACAGCAGCGCCCCAGCTATCGGTGTGAGCTGACTACCACAGATGGCAGATTAGGATTCTGTTCTGCTCCGTAGGGCTTCTCAGACAAGAAGGTTAAAGACACCCGATCAGCGGTCATAGGTCACTGGGACACTTGACAGGGCCACCAGGGAGGTGATGGAGGAGGCATTGGGGCATCTTTGGGGTGACAATGGGAGGTATTAAGGGGACACGTCGGGGGATTCTTCTCTGCAGTATCACATGGAATCACCACGGCCATCACCCCGCAGACCACAGCAGCACTGACCCCTACTTCTACTCAGCGTATTACGGCCACTGGACCCACAGTAACCCATGCCACAAGCCAGCCCACAGCATCCTGGCCCAGCATGACCACACAGACTACAGCACAGACCACAAAACATACCACAGTACCTACAGCAACTCCCTCAACATTGGAAGTGACCTCGGGGACCCCATCAGGTAAGCTGATCCTTCAACCAGCCTGTACACAGACCCCAGCTCATCAGTGGGCTAGGGTCAGGTTCGCTGGCAGCAGCAGCAGAGTCCCCAGGCCCAGGATTGTTGGGAATGTGCAGCACAATGGGTCCTCAGGGTCCAACCTTAGATCCCCACTGACTCACCAGCTCCCTAACACACCACACAGTCAAGGAATCAGACCCGACACCAGCACGGTGTGGCCCAGCCCTGGTAAGTCTGTTTCAGGATTATCCATTATGTACACTAGAACCCAGCCCCAACAACCACATGGACAGAAAGCTGCAGGGCACACGGCACTGGAAGGACACACAAACAGGTCAGGTCCTTGTCCTGGCATAAGACAAGGACCAGGAAATCAGTGGAGGAGGTTGATGTGGGGCTGGTACCCAAGAGATCAGGGGTATGGGATGTGGGATATGTAAAGCACACTCTAAATAGCCAGACGGTCAGAGATTCAGAGGGCTTTACCCAACAGACAAAGAGTCAGAGAAGGTAAGGACCTCACTAGGTTGCAACAAAAGACTAGGGAAGATGTGATCAAGTGAGTATCATCAAGTGACAGACTTGAACACACGCAACTAGAAGCAAAGTGAAGTTCCATTAAAACTAAGGATGAAATAAATACTCCAAATCAACAAAAGAGCTGACATCAATATGCAGGTGTGTGTCAGAAACAGGTACAGAGGGGAGAACAGTGACCTGAACTATGTCTCCCACAGCCCACACCTCACCAACTGAGACGACAGCTTCAACTCCTGAGGAAACAACGAACACACAGAACCCAGAAATGAGTCATACAACTGGGATTGTGTCACTGTCTTCATCATCAGCGACTACAACTTCACAAACCGTGATCACTACAACCATGGAAGGCATTGGTTCCTCCAGCGCACACACAAGGCCAAGTGGCACCTCTCTACCAACAACATCAATCCCAACAACAGGCAGAGGATCGACACCTTCAACGGCTCCATTCGACAAGACCACACTTCACACCAGACCTCCATACAGTTCTACAAGCACCGGCAAAACCACTAGTTCCTTAGTATGGGGACCTACCTCCACAGCACCTCCCTCATCAATGTCACCTGTTCATACCACCACCACAACTCAGCCAACCGGTGGAGGAACCAACACACCAAATGCAGAGACCACTTTGCCGTCCTCCACAACCATACCACACACACCTTTCACGACACTATCTGCGCCCACCATTTCTGCCTCTTCATCTTCACGCAGCACGGGTCCACCTTCTGGAACCTCCTTCAGGACCACCACCAACATTCCAGGAACAGAACACACCAAGACAAGTCTTCCCACAAGAGTCCCTCCATTTTCAACCTCTTCGGTGACTCCAACATCTCACACCATAAGCACACCGAACACGGAAGGCATAGGCTCTTCAGCCTCCCCAAGTCCTAGTGGCACCTCGTTGCCGACCTCTGCTGTCCCCAGCAGAGGAACAGGGTCTACACCTTCAACAACACCATTCACCAAGACCACTC